ATATTTATTTTATTTCTGAAAATCCAGTATTTTCATGATGTAAAACCTTAAGTTAACTTAATCTTCAGTTAAAGTTAAATCCACTGTATTAATACGATGCAAAGTCTTAAGATAAAATGTACGTTTATTCATGACAGTATTTTCATTAAGCTTAATCTCCAGTTAAAGTTAAATCTATGGGACAATTACTTATTGATTTGACGACAAATACTTATGGGACAAATATTTATTCTTTTAACTTTGAATATTCAGTATTTTCATTAAGCTTCAGCAAAATTTAAATCTACTGGACAAGTATTTCTATAATGAAAACCCTAAAGTTAAATTTTTTACTTATCCAGTGAATTGATCAAGTTTATACAACTTCTTACTTCTTGCAGATTAAACCAATTTAATCCAATAAAAACATAGTGTTCATATCTTCACTTTTCCAGTGGATTGGACAAGCGTGGACAAGTATTGACAAGTGTTGAAGAAGAAAACAGTTAATAATATTTACTTTAACACATCAGATCTAATGAGTAAAATACTAAAAGCTGAGACACTTTTTTTTCTTCTTTATTGTTTACTTGCATTCGAAACACATCTCAGCGAATGCAAAGTCGCGTGGGCAAACGGGAATTCCTAGACTTTACCTCCCACAAAATTCCAGTCCAAACAATTAATTATATAAAAAAAAAACAATCCATACTATTATCAAAAAACGAACCATTCCAGCATTAATTTCATAAACCAGATTCCTGAACACTCGCCACGACGAAAATCAACCTTTTTATCATCCCGGAATGCAGGTAAATTAATCTAATAGGAAAGGTGTATCGAGTCCTAGAATCTCCGGTTTGCTTTCCTCAAACATAAATCACGGGAGCGCGACGTTGCTTGTAAATTGCAGGCATGATTTACGCGCCAGATAATTTAATTTACTTACAGGGTTTTTTTGTCCCTTCTGCAAATGGAACAAGAAAATGTACAACGACTTTCCATTTTCGGGAAAGCTCGTAAAGAGATGATTTGTACCGTGTAATATAAATAACTTTTGTCGATGTTTATACGTTCTATGATTGAGATTTTAATCTTAAGAATAACTAATTCTTACGGTCCAAGTCCGATGGTAAAATGACATTTCTTGAGAGACTTTCTTCTACTTTGTGGCTTTGCGGTTTTCGTACACAATTTCTCTTCTATTCTTTAAAACTTTTTCCAATTTCCATTTTGTAAAAAAAAAAACTCATATTTATCCATAATCATAATACATTTCTAATAAATAGCAAAAGTGCAAATAACAACAAAAAGTTTCAATCTTAAATCGAAAGTATATTCATTTTAAATCTGTTTCCATTATTACATTATCTATCAGTATTTAATAGAGTTATTCAACTTTCTTGGAATGCTTCCTTACGTAAACATCTGCTATCGCCAAGATTATCCAAGAATTGTGTTGGCTGTGGATTTATGAATGTCATTCGCGTTCGATTCCTTCAATGACATTTCTCAAGAAATAATTATTCTACGAATCGTGCAATCATTACAATTTTTATACCAAAAATAAAGAGAGAAATCTTACATTTATTGTAGGTGAATTATCGTTTCATTGATTTAATTTGTTGTGATCGATAATTGCAGAATAGTAGGCGTGAATTTAGTCGATCAAAAAACAGCAGCGATTTAGTAGAAGTATTGGGCAATTTTGTAGGCTTTAAAAGGCGCAAAAGTAGTGAAAGTTTAGAAGTTATTGCGCTGTAAAACATGATAGTCTCATAAATTGTTAGTTTCAAGAACATAAAAGTGTATCAATAAAAAAAACTAAGTGAAATATCAGTAAATGAGTCATCAGTTGAAATTTCCAGTATTTTCATAATGTTTAATCTTCTGTTAATATTCATTTTATCTCTGAAAATCCAGTATTTTCATGATGAAAAACCATAAGTTAACTTAATCTTCAGTTAAAGTTAAATCCATTGTACGAATACGATGCAAAGTCTTAAGTTAAAATGTACGTTTATTCATAATAGTATTTTCATTAAGCTTAATCTCCAGTTAAACTTAAATCTATGGGACAAATGTTCATAATGTTTAATCTTCTGTTAATATTTATTTTATCTCTGAAAATCCAGTATTTTCGTGATGTAAAACCATAAGTTTACTTAATCTTCAGTTAAAGTTAAATCCACTGTACTAATACGATGCAAAATCTTAAGATAAAATGTACGTTTATTCATGACAGTATTTTGATTAAGTTTAATCTCCAGTTAAAGTTAAATCTATGGGACAAATGTTTATTGATTTGAAGAGTAATATATCGTTTAACTTTGAATATTCAGTATTTTCATAATGTTTAATCTTCTGTTAATATTTATTTTATCTCTGAAAATCCAGTATTTTCATGATGTAAAACCTTAAGTTTACTTAATCTTCAGTTAAAGTTAAAATCACTGTATTAATACGATGCAAAGTCTTAAGTTAAAATGTACGTTTATTATTAACAGTATGTTTTCATTAAACTTAATTTCCAGTTAAAGTTAAATCTATGGGACAAATACTTATTGATTTGACTACAAATACTTATGGGACAAATACTTATTCTTTTAACTTTGAATATTCAGTGTTTTCATTAAGCTTCAGTAAAATTTAAATCTACTGGACAAGTGTGGAAAAGTATATATTTGTTGAAACAAAAAAAATTAGTAGAAATATTGGGCAATTTTAAAGGCTTTAAAAGGCGCAAAAGTAGTGAAAGTTTAGAATTTATTGCGCTGTAAAACATGATAGTCTCATAAATCGTTAGTTTCAAGAACATAAAAGTGTATCAATGAAAAAAAAAAAGTACATGAAATATTGATTTTAAAACTAAATATTTCAATAATTTCACACTTGATTCTATAAAATCCTAAATGATTGAATATTTCAATGAATATAAAGAATGTTTCAATAATTTAAATTTCGATTTTGTAAATGCAAATACTGTTTTTGTGGTTGCATAAGTAATTTTGAGTATGTTATATAAAATCCATCGGATTTGGACATTGGAATGTTACCATCAAACGATGCTCGTTTTTTTGTTGTTGTTGTTGTTGTTGTTGAAGAAAAAAGCAAATGAAATAACAAGTTTTCAGGGGGATCGGATCGTCGGAATGCCTCCGGTGCAAATTCCAAATGCATTACGCAACGGAACTGCAGCGAGTTTCAGAAAGAAAGAAAACAAATTATAACAATTTGAATAAAACGAATATATCTTTGTATGCAAATCGTCGCGGTTTTGTATACGAAATTTGTACAGCGCGTGTCTGCTGCGTTTCGTTTGAAAGTTCAAGCGAAATTATGTATACGAAACGCCGTTGTCGTCCGATACACATTTTTATTGCCCAACAGCACTTATCTCTATGCAAATACATTTTGGGTCGTTAAAAAAAAGTAATGTAGAATGTAAAAAGTAATGTAAAAACTTCTGCTGCAAAAATAAAGCACGAAGAACGATACTTGTTGATCCAGAAGGAATTGAATCTAATTTGGAAAATAATGCGTGGAACAAAACGAAACTAATTGAGTTGCAATTAGCTTATTAGAGCAGATGCTACTAGACTCAATTTGATCCCATCAGTGCGGACGGGTTGTAGATGTTGTTGAAAGACTAGTACATTTCTTCAAATATACAGAAAATTTACTTACCATTTCTAGAAATTACATCTTTTTTTTGTAACTTAAACATGACATTAAAAAAAGTAATTGTAAAGCTACAAAATTTCATATTTACATCACTAGACCAATGTTAATTATATGTTATTTTTAGAAGTGAAATATTAAGGTTTTAAAAACGCATTCATTTGAATTTAGCTGCAAATTATTCAACCTAAATGTGCGACTAGAGGACATAACAATGTTTGAAGTAAAAGCGACAGTTCTGATAGTGTGTTATCGGTCAGACTGTTCGAAAAGAGGTATTTGCATGCAGGAAACGATAAACTTATCGCGCTTATTATTCCGCTTTCGCTGCTGCACAAAATGGAAATGGAAACGAAAACCATCATTTGTTGTAAGCAAACAAGACAATACAAACAATTAGAAATTACAATTTGTGGCTGCGGATAGTTAGATACAGGAGCAGCGCAGTCGTACAATATTAGAGCGCGATGCCACAATTAATTTTAATAAACCTCGAAAAACTCGTCCGTCCGCATTCCGCACCGCAACTACAAATAAAATCTATACTCTCGTCATCCCATAAGAAAGCATTTTATTTTTTGTTCTCTTATTTTTCCTCCGTCGTTCCGTCGTTTCCAAGCGAAAGATACGATTGGAATTTCAGCTCGGATCAGGTATGGCGCGCGAAGACTTCCGGTTTATCTCTCCTCTCCACCCATCTCTTCATCTGTCTTCTTCATCCTCCACAACCTCCTCTTCTTAACTTGCGCGCCTAGGCCAGATCACGCTGCTGTCTCTCTACTCTTCTCTTCCTCTTGCGCGCTGCTACCAATCGAGGACAATGGACCTCAGCTCAACCTTATTTATTACCATCGACTATGAAAGCAAATAATAATGATATATTATAACCCAGTTATGCCATTTGTATGTCTGTCCGTACGTACAAATCGGAGTTGCGAAAGTCGGAGTTTCGTAACAGAATCGCCGCTGCAGTTTGCTCTCTCTCTCTCTTTTTTCGAAAACTAGTCTCTGGAAATGTGTCAGTAGAGCAAGAAGACGTTTGTTGTTGTTGTCGCCGCGCGGTACAAGAAAAATCACCCACCCGAAAACTTTCACTTCGGGGATCGATTGCCGAATGTAATGCAATTCGCTGCTCGATAGAAAGTCAATATTTTTTTAAATTTTTTTTTTTGGGGGGGTCACTAGAAGAGAAGGAATGCCGTCGTCCACAAAACAGAAATGCATCCAGCGACGACTGGAGATAATAAACATTTTTTCGTAACGGAATGCGGTCGATACTTTCGATAATCTTAAATCGCCTACTTTTCTTCAATTAATTTATTTTTTTTGTTTATTTGTAGCAGCAGCTGTCCACGTCGGAATCGGAGATGAGCAGCATCAAAAGCGAATTGGAGATTGTGCAAAGGGCGCTGCGGCTGCAGACGAGGAGATGTCGACAGTTGGTGGCGGAGTATACGAGGAGGTTGCAGGAGAAGGAGCAGCAGTACCAGTCGGAGAAGTTGCTCAGAGATAGTCAGCTGACGAAGGTGTTGAGGGCGTTATTGATTTTCGAGGCGCGATTGAAGCAGGAGCAGAAATATATTAGTCATCAGCTGAAGGAGAAGGATTATATTATTAAGAGGCAGTGCGATGATATCAGTAAGCTTTCCAATCAGTATTGCAAGCATTGCAACCAGTTTTACAGTCCGGTGAGGAATTTGGAAAGTTTGGACAGCAGCTCAGAGTACGTGGGCACGGATTACCAGGACTACCAAAGCTCCAACGTGGAATCGTTGGACAGCAGCTCGGAAACGTACGCGACGATCTCCGAGAAAGATTTCCCGAAGTTGGAGGAGAAATTGGAGAGCGAAGGGAAGATCTACCAGAAAAATAAGATGGCTATAAAGCGGGGTCGAAAGATTGGGCACAGGAAGAGCGTGGGCACCTACTTCGAGGTGCTGAAGCTCAGGAAGGACGCGGTCAGTCCCAGCTCCAACGACGACAACACTAGTAACGATTACGAGAACTTGGAGTCTCTGCCGGCGGAGAGCATCTCGGGAAAGATTAGCACGGTTTCCGAGAGGATCGAGAAGGCGTTTGCGGATAACTTGACCGAAGACAATTTAGACAAGCACGACAATCAGTTCGTGTTGGAGGAGTCACGCAGCGAGGAGGAGGAAACGCTGCAGAACGTCAATGAAGAGAAGAAATCCACCGACGAGGAAACTGAAAACAATTTGATCAACGAGACGCTGGAGCTGAGCAAGAGTCAGGAGGATGAGAAAGTGTCGAAAATCACGGAAAGCATACCAGTCTTCGAAGCGGACGAAGGTGAAACGAACGACAATTGGTATGCGAGCGCCAGCGATCAGGAGGACGACGAGCAGCGCGACGTCTACAGAAACAATCCAGTCCTCGAGTGCATGAACCAAATCTTGATGCAAAACATCAACGACAATCCCAGCACTCCACCGAAGAGTCCGACGGTGGAGAGGAGGCAGGCGAAGAACAACAACAAACGAGTGAAATTCAGCGACGAGGATCTCGTCCACAAGGAGAACCTGCTGAACGCGGAGAACCTAAACTATTACGAAACGCCGATACAGAAGGCGCCCAATTTCTACGAGACGCCGCAAAGCATCTACAGCAACGACTACGAGCAGATCCTCAGTAAATGCAACGAATCGTTCGTCCATCCGATTCCGGAGAAGCCGCAGAAACCGGAACCCACGGAACCGCCCCACTATTACATAGACATGGACCCCAATCAGACGAACCCGACGAAGAAGACGAAAATCCTAAGAACTCCACCGGCTCTACCACCGAAACCGGCGAATCTTCTATCCAAATACAAACTGCAGAACTTACCCAAATCACCCGATAAATCCACGACGCCCAGCATCGATTCCGAACCGGACTACTGCTCCATCTCAGAACTGAATCTACCAACTAAAGCGAAGAAGTTAACAGTCGTCGCCGAAATCAACATTCCCAACGAATCCATAAAAACTTCAGAGAAACACATCATCTTACATTCGCCGAAACAGAAAGACTGCAAAGCCGAAAAAGCGAAACCGCTGGTGGTTGTCGTTAATAAATCCGTTGAGAAATTGAACATACAAGTTGCCAAGCAGACGCCCATAAAAACAGAATCTCCAACGAAACCTAAACCTAAGGTGGAACAGGAAATTCCGATGTTGCCTCAAGTCTCCGAAATCATAATCCCTGAAGAAGTCGAGAGCAGCAAAATAATCGCGCACGATAATTACATTAAAAACAACAGTCAAATGTTGAAGACGAAGCCGGAGACCGCTCGAAGATCGATCCTGATTGGAACGTCCGTTTCGAGTCTGATCACCGGCTTCAATAATCAGCAACTCCTCTCGGAGATTCACAGCAAATCGCCGAAAGGTAAACTGAACAAGAAGATGTTTGCTAGTTTTGAGTCGCTTCAAAACATAGAGAAACAGAGTAAGCCAGCGGAGAAGAGCCCGGACGACTCGCACGATTTCGCGAAATTCGATCTGAGTCAAAATTTCGAGGAGTTCAAGCTGGACGATTGCGAGATCGAGGAGTACAACGTCGATAATAACATCGATACGGAAGAGGTGATTGCTGAGACTAAAGAGGAGGACGAAGATGATGAGGAGGAAACGCAGGAGGAGCACGTGCTTCCGGATATTCTGACGACGCCGACGAAGATGAGTTCCACTAGGGTGGAATTGGTTAGAGCTACGAACGATGTGTCCGTTCCAACGCTCAATCAGGCTACCATCCAGCAGCTGAAGAAGAAACTGGAGCTGGACAAGAGCAAAGAGGTGTACCAGTCGACGACGGTCAACAACGGCTCGGAACCCAGCTACGAGCACTTCCTAGAATGCACAGGTTTAAGTTCCAAGTCCATCCTGACGCCCTCGAGGCTGCTCAGCAACCACAAGAGTATGCTCAAGCCCAAAGACGTTAAATTGAGGTCGAAAGTCAAGTCGAACGTTCTCGACAAGCAGAGCAACACCATCAAATATTGGTCGGAGCCCTACATATGACAACAGCCTGACAGCATTTTATAAACACTATTAATATATTCAAACAAAAAATAAATTAAACCCAACTGTATTTATTTATATTTATTTATAAACATTTATAAACCTTTTATCAAAAAAAAGAAAACAACAATTTTTACATACATTCATATTTTATTTATTCAATTTCAATATTTGTAGTACATGAGAATTAGTGTAAATAAGATTATTGTAAATATTAAAGAATTTCAAACAAATCAATAAATTTAAATGTACGTCAAAATGGTTGAAATTTATTTTAACTAATTTAATATAGATGGAGCCATTATCTAAAATAAGCAAACATATTTCTTAAGAATCGAAAATAGAAAAGTTCAAAGTTTAAAAAATGCTCGAAAAAGCAGTGTTTACATTTCATTGATTTACTCGAAAACTATAATACATAGAATGAATCCAAAAGATGCATATGAAAGCTGAATTCAAACAAAAAATAAATTAAACCCAACTGTATTTATTTATATTTATTTATTAACATTTATAAACCTTTTATCAAAAAAAAGAAAACAACAATTTTTACATACATTCATATTTTATTTATTCAATTTCAATGTTTGTAGTATATGAGAATTAGTGTAAATAAGAAGATTATTGTAAATATTAAAGAATTTCAAACAAATCAATAAATTTAAATGTACGTCAAAATTATTGAAATTTATTTTGACTAATTTAATATAGATGGAGCCATTATCTAAAATAAGCAAACATATTTCTTAAGAATCGAAAATAGAAAAGTTCAAAGTTTAAAAAATGCTCGAAAAAGCAGTGTTTTTACATTTCATTGATTTACTCGAAAACTATAATACATAGAATGAATCCAAAAGATGCATATGAAAGCTGAATTCAAACAAAAAATAAATTAAACCCAACTGTATTTATTTATATTTATTTATAAACATTTATAAACCTTTTATCAAAAAAAAGAAAACAACAATTTTTACATACGTTCATATTTTATTTATTCAATTTCAATGTTTGTAGTATATGAGAATTAGTGTAAATAAGAAGATTATTGTAAATATTAAAGAATTTCAAACAAATCAATAAATTTAAAAGTACGTCAAAATGGTTGAAATTTATTTTAACTAATTTCGTATAGATGGAGCCATCATCTAAAATAAGCAAACATAAATGGTGAAGTGCCTTCATGTTTTATTGATTATCTTTATAATTAAACGTAACATAATAATTAATCTATATTCCAATTAAAGCTAAATATATAGGCTTTTGAACACATCATTTACTAGATTCGTAGCTAATACAACTTGCCTGTAATTAACTTTTAAACTTGTCCCAAACATTTTTGTGCTTCAAAAATGCAGTGATTTCATAATAATCAATTAACACTCAAACATTAAATTTAAATACTTAGGCTCTGCAATGCAACATTTATTATATTCGTAGCTACTACAGTTTTGTTGTAATCATTTGTCAAATTGTGAAACAAATATTTTAAAGCCGTCTTTGTATTTTATTGCATTTATTTCATAGTAATTAAACAAAACTTATCTTTATAACTAAACGTAACATAATAATTAATCTATATTCCAATTGAAGCTAAATATATAGGCTTTTGAACACATCAATTAATAGATTTACAACTTGCCTGTAATTAACTTTTAAACTTGTCCCAAACATTTTTATGCTTCAAAAATGCAGTGTCTTTATGATAATTAAATTGAATTTAAATGTTTAGACTCTACAACGCAATATTTATTATATTCGTAGCTAATAAAGTTTTCTTGTCAATAATTGTCAAATAATGAAACAAATATTTTAAAGCCGTCTTTGTGTTTTATTGCATTTCATAGTAATTAAACAAAACACAAAACATCAATTACTACTGTAATTACAGCTAATTATATAAGTTTTTAAAACATCATTTACTAGATTACTAGCTAATATAATTTGCCTGTAATTAACTCTTAAACTTGTCCCAAAAATTTTTGTTCTTCAAAAAGTGCAGTGTCTTCATAATAATCAATTAACACTCAAACATTAAATTTAAATACTTAGGCTCTGCAATGCAACATTTATTATATTCGTAGCTAATAAAGTTCTCTTGTCAATAATTGTCAAATAATGAAACAAATATTTTAAAGCCGTCTTTGTGTTTTATTGCATTTCACAGTAATTAAACAAAACACAAACATCAATTAATGCTGTAATTACAGCTAATTATATAAGTTTTTAACACATCATTTACTAGATTACTAGCTAATATAATTTGCCTGTAATTAACTCTTAAACTTGTCCCAAACATTTTTGTGCTTCAAAAAGTGCAGTGTCTTCATAATAATCAATTAACACTCAAGCATTAAATTTAAATACTTAGGCTCTGCAATGCAACATTTATTATATTCGTAGCTAATAAAGTTTTCTTGTCAATAATTGTCAAATTATGAAACAAATATTTTAAAGCCGTCTAATTATATAAGTTTTTAACACATCATTTGCTAGATTACTAGCTATTACTATTTCACTTTAATTAATTTATCCAAATTGTAAAATAATTATCGAAATATATTGTTTTTTGTTACATAATATTTTCACATTTTTTATAATATAATGATATTAAGATTTGTATTACATAAAAATGCTTCTAACAGTCAAATTTGGTTGCCTATATCAATCATGTAAGGAAAATTTTTGAGCGCAGCGCGTTTTTTTAATTTATTCAAATTTAATTCGTCCTGCTAAGCGCTAATCGCCGAAGTAGGCGAATAAAATTGAAATTTACAATGCATCCAAGGCTATATTCCTTCGCTGTTCTTCCTTTCGTTTATTCTACTATTTTTTTTTTGGGTACGAAGGCAAAATTCGATTCGAATGAGCAAGAAGTCGCGCGCGGTGCGTTGACCGTAAAGAATTCATTTATACAACACTCGTTGAACAAGTACACATACTTTTACACACACTCAAGTCGTTCATGTTTATTGTTTTTTTTTATTTCTTGCTAGCATTCATACAAAACTTTACTTGTCTTCTTTTTTTTTTCTTGAAATTCTATGCAACAATTCGTACCGGCTCAATTGGATAATTATCATTTCGGTCGTAAGCTGGAAAGAGAACCGTCTGGAGGTTGAACACGTTCAATGCCAAATGGAAGAGGAAGATGTTGAAATATATATGTGCAAAAAAAAAACAAGCACAATTCGATATGCGAATTAATTTAGGAAACTAATTGCGAATCCGAAGATTTTTATGAAGAGTCGAAGACCTTGGCTCGTTCTTTTCGACTGGTTACGAAATCATTTAAATTACAACGAGTTTCTTGATGTAATAATAACGACCAACTAAATTAATTCGACAATTTGTATAAAAGAACATTTTGTATAAGATTTTTTTAAAAAAATTATTACATTACATTAATTTATTTACATTTCTCTGAAAAACATGAAACATTCATTGTATTTTAAGCTAAAATAAACTATACATTTATATACCGAAAATAAGTCAAAGTTACTTCATTTAAGTTATGATTCATTCAAAGATACAATCAGAAATGATTGTTTGATAATATAAATTATCAAAAGTACGTGTATATAAAAGCATATGAACATTTTTTCAATAAATAAAACAAACGTATTAATCATCAACGAAAGTATGAAACATTTTGGAATTTGACTAGTAGTCTCATAATAATGACTCAAAATTCGTAAGTGTATAAGATTTGAAGCAGATAAAATAGGAGTTCTCAAGAACCCTTCGACGAGTTTCTTCAAATCTCTTGTGCACTCGAAGAGTTCCTCTACTTCTGCAGCTATATTTTCACATTTCATTAATTCACTCGAAAACTATAATACATAGAATGAATCCAAATGATGCATATGAAAGCTGAATGT